AATTCTGTTCATGTTTTGCTAAATGTATGTATTTTTTATTTATTTATTCTAAATGAATATGGAAAGACAGTGGCCCTCGGAAATAAATGGCTTTAACAATAAGTCCAAATGAAGACCTGCATAGCGATTCTTGATTGAGCGCATGTAAGACCTACAGCGACAGAAACAAAACGCCTAAAATAGGATTTTAGGTGCTACAAGTTGTTTAATCAATATTTCTAACCTGCCAGATAATGGTGCTCTAGTATAAAAAACATTTAATTTATTTCAGTGTTTGTATGAAAGTTGCATTCATGATTTTTCTTGCTCAGATTTGGCATGGAACAAAGACTCTGGGATATTTTTAAAAGATTTTCTGCCTGGAGGTGGAATTAAGCAGAAAAAAAGACAAGATTGGCCGTACTTACAGAACATCTTTTTAATTTAATCTAACACTATTGCAAGCCAGTATGTGAGATTTACATCATGGTCAGAGTGAGTTGCCAAATATATAAATAGTGAAAATTCTGATGTTGCAGTTGACCTTCAATATGTATGTAAAAACTGGATCATTAATGAATTCAATCATTAATGAATTAAAACTTTGCTTTCCTTGACTTAAAATGACCGATCTGTTCTTGTGACCAAGGGAAATTGAGACAAATTTGAAAAGAAATCTTCCTAGGGCATTTCTGAAACAACAGTTACACCAATGTGGCAAAGATAGTGCTGCAAGTTGCATCTTGTAAGATAAAAATGCTTTCAAGGCTGTGAACATAACAGAAAAGCTCCATCATATAGATTGTGACTCATACTGCTCAATGCATAAAGTCTCTCTTAGTTTTATGTATCATTTAACATATAGAAGAAGAAATGTTGAAAAAAACACAGTCTCTATTTAATTATTGTAACCTATTTTATTATTTTTTTCTTCTATTTTTCTGAGTCCCCCAGTGCTTCCTGTTGGCCTCCCATGGACTGCTGGCCCCACTTTGAAAACCACTGATGAAGAGGAACACAGCTCAATGGTAAAATATGAGTTATTCTTAAACAAAAGAATGAATACATTCGGTTTTAACCACAGACAACTCCAGTGTTGTACATGCATCTTCACAACTCTACTCTCTTGAGGGCAGTTTAAGTTTATCAAATAAGCTTGTAAGTACAGGATTATGTCTTATAGGACACTGAGGCAATTTTGTGCGCACAATCAATAACAGAAGCACAAAAGGAAGCAGAGCATTAACAGTGTATCAGTGTATAGTTTTTATAAAGTGTTGAGTCTGACATGATGACAACCCTTAGAGCCTAATTAGAGTAGATTCATTTGAGCATATTTAACAGCATTAAAGGTCATAGCTACAGCTACTTCTTTTAAGCTATCATACTTCCAAAAATGCGGAGAACGTCTAGAGTGGTGCAGAACACAAGTAATAATTTTACAGAAAAAAAATAAATGTTCATGGGTCTGAAATGCATAAAGGGCATTTCCAGATCCTATTAGCTCTGTGATAGAGCTAAGAAATGGCTTGTTCAAACAGAAGCAAACGAGGATGAGCCTTGATTAAGCTTTTGATTTTCAATGCTGACTAAATGAAGAAAAGGGGCTCAGAAGGTGCACAGAGCCCCCTGCTATTCATCTGGCAAACAGCACGGATTAGAATGTGAGTAGGCTAGCGTGACACTTGGGTGGAGTTAAACTTCCCTTTTAATAACTTTTTTTGCAGCTGAAACACTTGTTTTGCTGATCTCCGTTTGTCCGTTCACTGCAATAGGCTACAAATCTACAGAAGCTACATAATAAAACCCAAAGAAATGTTTAAGGTTGCATGGCTAACATGTTTGCATTTAAAATACCAAAGAAGTCTGTGTAAGCAGAAAAACAAAATCTGTACTTATCTCCAACCAAACAACATTAATATAAACAGATGTAACAAATGTAAAATCACAAATCAGCTACAATGGTTTCTTTCATTAAAGTAATTATATTGTTTTCAGACACTTATAACGTCACACTGTTATTCACATGTGCTGGCTGTTGTGATGTGGCTGAGCATGAAAAATTCTGTATGAAAAAAATATAAATTTTCCCGTTCATAGATGGTGGATTTATACAAGTATGAAGTATAAAGATGGTGGATTCATTGCAGTAATGTACACTGCTCAAAATATAAAGGGAAAACGTAAATAACACATTATAATTTAAATTTAATCAAGCTTCTGGGAAATTTAACTATCCACTTAGGAGGCATCACTCATTAGGAATCAATTTCAAATGTTGTGCCAATGGAATAGATAATAGGTGGAAATGATTTGCAATTAGCAAGACTCACTAAATAAAAGAGTGGTGCTGCAGGTGGGGACCACAGACCACTTCTCAGTACCTATGCTTTCCCGCTGATGTTCTGGTAACTTTTGAATGTTGGTGATGTTTTCACACCCATGGTACCATGAGACTGACTTCATGAGATCCCAACGTTGGGTTGTGCTTCAAGTCCAATACAGTCCTGGACGCTTGGCATTTGCCAGAGAACATCATCATTGGCCAAATCGCTAATGGTGCCCTTTGCTCTTCACAAATGAATGCAGGTTCACACTGAGCTCATTTGACAGACATGACAGAGTCTTGAGACACCGTGGAGAGTGATCTGCTACCTGCAACTCAGAATGACCAGTTTGGAAGTGGGTCAGTAATGGTGCTTTTCTTTGGAGGTGAACACAGCCTTTCATATGCTCAGCAGAGGTACCATGACTGCCATAAACTACCAAGATGAGATCCTCAGAACTCTTGGGATACCACATGTTGGTGTGGTCGGCCCTGGGTTCCTCCTAATGCAAGACAATTCTAGACCTAATGTGGCTGAAGAGTGTCAGCAGTTCCTGAAAGATGAAGTTCCCAAGACGTGAATCCAATTGAGCACATTTGGGACATCATGTCTTGATCCCACCACCATCGTCACATTGCACCGCAGACTGTTCAGGAGTTGGCTGATGCTTAAGTCCAGGTCTTGGAGAGGAGATCCCTCCGGTTACCACCCTCCACATCATCAGGAACATGTCCATGCATTGAAGGGAGCTCATAAAGGCATGTGGAGGCCAAGCACACTACTGAGCCTATTTTTGACCAGTTCTAAGGACATAACATCAATGTTTGAGCAGCTTGTAATGTGATTTTCCACTTTAATTTTGTGTGTGACTCCAAATCTAGGCCTCATTTGGTTAATAAATCTGATTTCCATTGATGATTTTTGTGTGATTTTGTTCAGATCTAGGATGTGCACTTTGAGTGTCCCCTTTATTTTTTTGATCAGTGTATTTTAAATGGAACTGCACCTGTATTTACAAAATGGCTGAACGAACAGCAGGGAAGAAAAACTACAATATTCTATTTTTTTTACCAGATAAAGGTAGATAATACTGTTCATTTGTAATAGACTCGTTCATCAAACTTTAAAGCTGCAGTCTGTAACATTGAGGAGAGAGCAGACTTTGACTGAAAATTAGAAGAAAAACAGGTTTCACGCCACTCCCCCACCCTCTCTGCTTCACTCATGCCCCACCTCCAAGCTCCACCCCTCTCACAGCATCTGCGCGGCTACCGCATGCGACCAGAGGGGGGGGGGGGGGGGGGGGGGATTCAGCGTGTGTGAGCTGTGATTGACACTCCATCAGATGCTCCTCTGGCTGTGATTGGTTGTTTTGACTCGTCCCCAATTATTCTTTCCAGATTGCAATACAGGCAGTAGGCGGTACCAATTGAAGCAGTTTTTTTCACAGGTTACATATCACATGTACTGCTGTCTGGGCATAGGGACAGTTTTAGCCAATATGACAAAAAAGTGATTTTTTAAAACTTACAGACTTCAGCTTTAAGCTGAATAATATTTCTCATTGTGTCTTAAATTGCTATTTGATAAAAATGTGATATATCACAATCAATCACCTAAGAATCAATCTCTGATTAATTAGATGATTTTTTGCTAATCATGCGCTACTACTTGCTTTTTTCTATCTCAGTTCTTTGTCTGCTGTATTTCTTCACACAGACACACTGGTCTCCCACTGAGGCCCAGTCCACACGAAGATGAACCCTGGCCTAAACGCACAAATTTTTCACCAAACCAGCCTCTCATCCACACGAAGCCGGCGTTTCAGGGGTCTGTAAACGATCATTTTTTTATTCAGCCTTCAGAGTGGGAAGATTTCAAAACGCCGTTTTCGCGTTTCCATCTTTACGCTCTAACCGCATTTTTTTTTTTACACGCATGCGTCATAGCGTCGCCTCTAAACACGCATGCGCAACACATCACAACAACAATGGCGCCGTTGCTGCTAATGCTACTCACCCTGCTGTCGGGCTTACAACAGAATCTTCTTCTTCTGGAATATCTCCAGGAAGAACAGAGCAATATCGACGACATAGTTCAGCACCTGAATTTGACTTAACCACGAAAATGGACCCGCAGGGCAACCATGTATAAATATTAGTGCGCATGCCCAACATTTCGTCGCTTATTTTTGCTTTGGCACCACAGCGCCACTTACAGGCCTGGCATACATTTTGCAGCGTTTTCATGCATTCGTGTGGACGCTCACATTTATTTTACGTCTCCGTCTTTACGGCAAACGTTTTGGAAAATATCAGCGTTTCGTGTTCGTTTTGACTTCGTGTAGACGGGGTCCCAGACTGCTGCTTAAACTCCTGCTGTTCCCTGTCATTCCTTATTTGTCTTTTGCACATTTTTTCTACAGATGATGAATGAAAATTTCCTGAAAAGCTGCATAAAAGTAAAAAAAAATAAAATAAAAATTAAAAGAAAATTACTTGAAAACTTGTTGTCATTTAGGCAGACAGGAATTTTACGTGATCTCAGAGGCTCCATATGGGCCAAAGTTTAGAAGAACTTTCTCTGAATTAACACTTTAATGCTCACATCATTCTAAAAAGAAGCCCAAAGACCCTTTGCAGTAGTTACTGTATTATAATTGGCCTTTCAGACTATTAAAAAAATGGAACTTACGCTCAGCAATGATAAGAGGAGGATAGAAGAGGAAGTAGCCCACAAGCTCAGCAGAAAGCTGACCAAGAAGGTTGGAGGCAACTGTTCCATTGAGAAAGACAGTCCCATTCTTTACAGCGTAGACCAAAGACACAGCAGGGGAGGCGTGTGCCTGAGAGACACTCAGAATCTAAGAAAAGATGAAAATAAATACAGAGATCAGGTCAGAAAGATAACATGGTGCAGGGATACAAGGGAATAACAGCAAAAAGTACAAAATACCCAAAACAGTCAACTATAAAAGCATGCAAAAAACAGCAACATCATTTTTACCTTAACCTGTGAGCGTTAAATAAGCTTTAATAGATGGTGCACTCTAATGTGGCAGCTCATTAAAACGAATATAAACAGTCTCTGACTAGCATAATCAGAGCAGCTGCTTCTGAAAAAAACCCACCCCAATTCACAAGGGGATAATTTTGCAAATTGTACACAATTTCAATCTGTTTAAGGATGATAAACTTTATATACTGCCAGATGACAATGATCTCGAAGAAGAACTGAGACTGTTTTAAGTGTGTTCTAATTAGCTGCAAAAGCTATTTAGTACATTTAATTGTAATCTCCCTAATTTGAATAAATGCTTATAACTTGTACTTAAATGTAGGGATCCTGTCTACTTCAGTTACATTATTACATTAATAACATGAATGAATTAATAGAAATGAAGAAAACCACAGTACTTGAACTGCAAGTCGGCTTTTTGTGTTGAGTACTTTGGCCTGCGCCTCAGAAAAAACCTTCTCAAGCCTTTGCTCCATCATTTGTAAGAAGCGACAGGATCGGGGATCATCATCCGCTCCCACAAACTGCAACACTGCAACACAAACAGGAGCTGTATATAATAGTAGGTTTTATAGGCTGCAATAGTTTGTTTTAGCCAGGTTTATTTATATACCACATTTCTGTCACAAGACAATTCAAAGTGTACTTGAAAAAAACATACAGTGAAAAGTACGTTTTAGGTACTGTTGTTTATGTACAGTTAAGAACTTCCTATGCATGTGTCGTGTCTTTTTATTCTCAGATGTGGTGTGAAAACATTCACTTTCTGTTTTTGTTATTTCAAAGTTACAGGAGGGAAGGAAACAGGAGGAAGTCTCAAGTGGATCTGTGTCATGCCTGTTATCACCCTGAATGAGAGCTGACCTGTTTTCAGCTGGAAGCCAGTGGCAGGGCTGGATCTCCACAAAGCAACAGGAAGGGGCAGGGCTGTCACCATGGGGAGGTACTGTCGCAGGTCTGCAATCAGCTTATCGCGGCCGTAGGATGTCAAGCCTTCCACTACTACAGAAGGAGGGAAAACTGTATCCCCTCCTGTAACGTGATAGGCCACCGTCATGTTGGGAGAGCCAAAAACTGTCTCCACCTAAAAGGGTTGTGTAAAAAACAACAGGATAAAGATTTCTACAGATACAGTTTCTACCAGGCACAATTCGTGGCATAGATTCTGCATAAAGCTAATGATGGAAGCAATATGAGTTGGCAGAGTCCCTTTTGTAGGACAATAACTTAAAGTAAATACATCGAGTTGTTAATGTGGAATTTGAGCTCTGCTCCTCATAATATCATGAAATGTAGTTTTTTTTAATTGTCTTATTCAAAGTCAGTACAGTATCTCAGAAGGAGAAGTTATAGTGAAAAAACCTAAGTTGATAAAACTAAGACATCCAGCAGTTAGTAGTCAAAAATGAGTAGTCAAGATTTTCCTAGATTTTTTTATTCTCTCGTTCACAATAAGAGCAGTTACATAAAGGCAAGCCTTAAAAAAACTATTAATTAAACACCAATGCAAATAATGAATATATATATATACATATATATATATATAATGAAGACATTTATTTAAGAGTGAATTCATTCAAATACTGTACAAAATTTGAAGCATGTTAAAGGAAAACTGAGTGGATTTTTTTTAAAGAAAGGAGACTTTGTCACACTCGCAGTCACACCACTTAATTGGCTCAAAAAATCATTTTATACTGAGCGATTGTTCTTTCAGGCCATATCTTGTCAAGTGGAAACCAAAACAGAGGTTAGGGCACCTTTTACACTCCACAACCACAGACTGCTAATTCAATTTTAAATCAATTCTTTCACAATGGCAGATGGGATATTTCGTGTTGTGTTAATTTTCCACAAAGGACGGAAATCAACAAAATGGTAAATAGCCTGTACTTATATACTTATATAACGCTTGGGTCAGGTCAGGGGTCTTGCACTACATTCACTCATTCACTCACTGGGCCATTTGACCTCCATCAGTAAGCAATGCAGGGGAAGTGTCTTGACCAAGGACACTACATTGAAAACCAGAGCCGGTGCTTGAACCTGCAAGGCAAACTCCTGCATCCTGACATTATATCAGGATATGATATCAGGTGTAAACTCAAGAATACTGAATGCTTGCCTTGATTTAAAAGGGGTTTCGGTTAAAGTGTAGTATTGCACATCTATACTGCAATATAGTTTTGTTTTATTTCTGTTTGTATATTGTTTTTCTTTAATAAAGATGGTTGTCTTTCACTGAGGTTGTTCTTTAATTGAGATGATTAACCAAACCCTTTTTGTTTTAGATCGCAAAAACCTTAAACCTTAAACCTTATTTTTACATTTTAAGACCTCATTGTATTCTGCTAAATTCTGAAAGCTTTCATCTAAAGACTTTCAGGCTGATACTTTATGGAGACTACACTATCAGTTGTTATTTTGATGCTAATGCCAATTTTGCTTTCAACTAGTTTCATCTGGAAAACTTGACCTTTGTCCTAAGGATCCATAATGTTGCATATTTTAGATGTTCCCATTTATTCATACATGCAAATAAATGTTTAATTAACGGACCTCTCCGGGCCTTGATGACTGCTGAGGAGGTGATGCAATCATTTGATTTTGGTATGGTAGAACAGAGACACAAACTGAAACTTGTACAGCAGGGGCTCCTGAGGAGCTGAAAACCCATGCTTTAGCATCCTTTTGTTGGGTGTACTGCTTATCAAATGCCGATAGCACAATAACTGCATCATAGATAGATATATGTGATGAGATGTACCTCCATGAAAGCCAAGAACCTCTTAATATATATTCATAAATATCCTTTTTTTCTACAGATTCATAATATCTTAGCTGAATGCTGACGGAGTACATCCCCACATCACTAATCAAAGAACAAGTAGGAATCAGTTGGATTTCTGACAAATTGAACTATAAGTCATTTCTGTTTTCTTTTTACTAAAATACAAGTTACAGTCATATGAAAAAAAATTTAATAAAAACAGATTAATAAACTAGCCATGTTAGATTAAAATGATAAAATCTAATAAAAAGACGAGGCTATTCTAAAAACCTGAATCTGATGGCCATAAAGGAGAATGAGAGGAGAAGAGAGTGGATGTGCAATACAGATATGTGAGAAACCAGTAGGAACTGAGGGACTGCTGAGAAGAGGAAAAAGAGCCCCAAAAAAATGCTAAGAGGCAGACTTTTAACCCTATAAGTTTTCAATTAAAGTGTTCTGCTATCAGATGAGGTACAGCATCTTTGTCTATGTTCCAACTAAAAACAAATATTTTTTTCTTCTTGCATTTTTTCACTTGTGAATGTAAACAAAGGATTCCACAAGAATTAATTTTTTCAATGAGGAAGATTCTGACTTTTTCCCAAACTCTTCTGATAATGAAAGCTGATGAATCTAGTTATCTATGCAGGAGATGTCAAACCATTGAGATCCTTTATTTAAATCCTTCAGAGAGCCTGCATTTACGATGGGGCCAAAAAGATTGAGAGCCTCTTGTCTTTGAGCCGAAGGTTACAGCTCTGCCTCTGCAGAGCTCTAGTACAGCTCTGTCAATTAAGCTCTTTATTATCACTTCAACCTTTTAGGTATCAACCTATGTGAAGGCATTTTTGGTAGCACTACTTGAAAAGTGGGATGTACAGATAAAATCTCAGATTTATTTCTAATCTTTATTCTTTTGTCATTAAGTCTATTCATAACAATCTTTTAAGACTCAGCTAAGCAAATGTCTGTCCTCCCAACCATTTTAGCCCATGATTAAACACGCAAGCAATTTTCTTAGCTATCAGCTTGCTTCCCATTGGTTGGAAAAATGTACTCTTATAAACGACCCATGCATTAATTATGGGTGACAAGGCAAATTACAACAAAACTCCTTTAAAGACCACTGATCGACACTGATAATGAATATGAGCCTTATATTGTCAGGAGCCATGTAGTACTATAGAGAACAGTGCCATGCAAAAAGATTTTGGGGGGCAGGTGCTCAGGCTGGAAAAATCCTGATATCTGAAAAAATATATATACACTCACCGGCCACTTTATTAGGTACACCTGTCCAACTGCTCGTTAACACTTAATTTCTAAGCAGCCAATCACATGGCGGCAACTCAGTGCATTTAGGCATGTAGACATGGTCAAGACAATCTCCTGCAGTTCAAAGCGAGCATCAGTATGGGGAAGAAAGGTGATTTGAGTGACTTTGAACGTGGCATGATTGTTGGTGCCTGAAGGGCTGGTCAGAGTATTTCAGAAACTGCTGATCTACTGGGATTTTCACGCACAACCATCTCTAGGGTTTACAGAGAATGGTCCGAAAAAGAAAAAACATCCAGTGAGCGGCAGTTCTGTGGGCGGAAATGCCTTGTTGATGCGTGAGGTCAGAGGAGAATGGCCAGACTGGTTCGAGCTGATAGAAGGGCAACAGTGACTCAAATAACCACCCGTTACAACCAAGGTGGGCAGAAGAGCATCTCTGAACGCACAGTACGTCGAACTTTGAGGCAGATGGGCTACAGCAGCAGAAGACCACACCGGGTGCCACTCCTTTCAGCTAAGAACAGGAAACTGAGGCTACAATTTGCACAAGCTCATCGAAATTGGACAATAGAAGATTGGAAAAACGTTGCCTGGTCTGATGAGTCTCGATTTCTGCTGCGACATTCGGATGGTAGGGTCAGAATTCGGCGTCTACAAGATGAAAGCATGGATCCATCCTGCCTTGTATCAACGGTTCAGGCTGGTGGTGGTTGTGTCATGGTGTGGGGAATATTTTCTTGGCACTCTTTGGGCCCCTTGGTACCAATTGAGCATCGTTGCAATGCCACAGTCTACCTGAGTATTGTTGCTGACCATGTCCATCCCTTTATGACCACAATATACCCAACTTCTGATGGCTACTTTCAGCAGGATAATGCGCCATGTCACAAAGCTGGAATCATCTCAGACTGGTTTGTTGAACATGACAATGAGTTCACTGTACTCAAATGGCCTCCACAGTCACCAGATCTCAATCCAATAGAGCATCTTTGGGATGTGGTGGAACGGGAGATTTGCATCATGGATGTGCAGCCGACAAATCTGCGGCAACTGTGTGATGCCATCATGTCAATATGGACCAAACTCCCTGAGGAATGCTTCCAGCACCTTGTTGAATCTATGCCACCAAGAATTGAGGCAGTTCCGAAGGCAAAAGGAGGTCCAACCCGTTACTAGCATGGGGTACCTAATAAAGTGGCCGGTGAGTGTATATTTGTCTAAAGAATCATTTTAAACAAAATTATATTCTCCACATCTAGAATAAATATTCTATAAATTAAATTCAGATCTCCATTTTCCTAATATTACTGGTCAGCATTTATATTATGTTAACTATGAAAAAAAGGTTTTTCAAATATTATACATTTTCAGTCAAGCTGATAAATGTCAGAACGGCCATTTAAAATGTGTAAGCATTTTTAGATATATAAAACTTAACTCTTACAATTTAGTTTATTTTTGTACTTTCTAAAATTCAGTTTCTGCTATAAAAATGTAATTTAAAAAATATATTATTACAGTTAGGTCTAGGAGTGTAATTTTGGTCAGGAAGAATCTTATTTTAGTGATCTACAAATGGAACAACGGAGAGGAAAGTGCTTTTAAGAAATGTAAAAATGGCCTGCAAAAGAAACTTCATATAAACTTACGCATTAACAGGAACAACAATCTTCTCCTTCGCCACCTTCTTCTCCTTCGTGGCTGTAGTGCTGGTTCTCTGTCTTTTAAACACCCTCTCCTTTATTACATTTTTTTTTGCATTTCTGCATTAAAATCTCTAGTTCCAGTGGAGTAAAATAGGAACTTCATTTGCCTGTTTTCATGGTGACTCTTTGAATCGGTGCTCCATTTATAATAGCTTTTCATACTTGCTGGGCAGGCGCCTAACTCTGAGTGAACCTACTTGAAGTTGATTGAACTAACTGATAGCAGCCGTTGTGAATCCGAACACTCAAAGTTACCGACTTTTGGCTTGATCAATTTAGAGTTGCGGATTTGAATCTGAATTTGTTAAACCTGCTTCATGAAACGGACCCCTGTGCTTTTAATGCTATTTTGAAGGTGGGTAGTGTAAACAAACTGTGTTTTTACAGAGGGCTAGTTTCAGGTTAATTTGCAGGCCTACAACGACCTTAATGACTCCCCATTAAAAGGGGTGGACCTGTTTTCGGTTCAATTTGCATGTTTTAATAGTCATAACAAGGCATTTGTTGAGCTACTCTATAAAACTTGGAATTCAACACTACTCTAGACATTTTAAAATCAATAAAGCTTGATGGATGGGAAGCGAAACATCTTCAAACTTGGAAAATAAAGTCCAGTAGTTTGTTTTTTTTTACTTTCTTTTTAGGAATGTTTTTACTGTAGTGATCAATGATTTATGCAGCTAGATTGAATATAGAGGTAACGGTTGATGAGAAATATGTCTTTCTCAATAGAGCTTCCAACTTCCTTTAAATTTTCTACGTGAAGTTTGATAAATATCCCAATAAAAATAGAACATGTACTTAAGCTGCACTTTTCATGCAGTCATAGAGGCCAGTGGATGAGAACGATTTTTCTCTTTTTTTTGAAGGCTGGTGGTCTGGCTGCACTCAGTCATACCCTTGCATAGCCAAAAGATGCTCTTAAAGCTGCTGGAGAGAGGTGGATTCCTCCTGGCCCAATGGGATACATGATTTGTTCGACAAAATGCTAATCAAAAAACACAAAGGTTATTTAGTGCATCCGGGGATTGTTTTGTTTTTTTTTTTTTTTTCGAGGAAATGCTGAGAATGGTTTCATTCAAACATGTTTTTTTTTCTTTTTATACAGATCTGATTCGTCCAAAATGTTGCTGCAATGACAGCTTTGTTCCTGCAGTTTTTGCTAAAAGATGTGACTCCAGTTGTCCATAAAAAAACTAAACAACATCCTCTTTAATATTGTCGAAATTACTGTAATACCACACTGTGTCTTTTGGGACCAAGTCAGTTAACCTCATTTCTATAATGGTCCTTGTATTTTCTGTAATAGCCTACATCACAGCCCTTGGTTATTTAAACACATCCAGTTTTCTGGCAAGTGTACAATCAGGGATTCACCACTGATAAAAGTGTAAAGGTCCCATTGTACAGAATATCTAAAGAAAGATTTTAGATATTGTTTATTTAATTTATCCTTAAAAATAACTTAATTAGATAACTTTTTTATAAACAAGCATCAGTGTATCCACCTCCATACTGTATATATAATGCCAGTCTATGGGAGCCTTTTCTTACTATGAGTTCAGCTGCTAAGCATAGCTTTTTTTAGCAGCTTCATGCTGTTGACCTTTGCTTCTTCCTCCACAGGCTACTCTTTAACCTCCCTGTCATCCCTACTGCTCCCCTTTAAATCTGACTTAATCAGTGTCATAAATGTTAGTAATGTTGCTGTATTTAATGTGTGTGAGGATATGGTCTTCCCGCTGCCTTCACTCCCTCAGGCATTCTACATTTGCATTGGTACAGCCAGGGAGGACCACAAACAGACTATTACAAAAAATAAGAGGACTGTGAATGCATCATGCAAGGGAGGATGCTTAATAATAATGTAAGGGGGAAAAAACTATATATATATCTTTTTCTAATCATTTATTATGTTCTCATTTCTGCCACTTTATTGTATAGCTTTCTTTTTTAACTCCTGTGTTGTCAATGAATCTGATAAAAAAGATTAATGACATGTTATGCTGTATTCCACTTTGGGTCTTTCTGGGCACAAACAGGCCCTTGATGGATATTACTTTCTGAAGAACTTTGATCTTAACAATGCATTTTCTTATATGATGAACTAGAAGGTGGAGCAACTCCCTTTGCATTTAACAATGCTCTATTCGGAAAACAATACAGCTATTACATAAAAAGGATTTTTATGATGATATGTCAATTTTTAGGGAAAATTGTCAGTACATGTACCTTCAAAGGTAAGAACCTGCTAACTTTTTTGTTAAAAATTTCCACAACTAATTTGTTGGGATAAAACTTCAATTCAAAATAGTATACAAGGGTAAAAAGACCAACTGATCTCACTGCATTAGAAAAGTAAGGTACTTATCTGCAGGAGACTGGCTCTCCTGTTAGATTAATAGCAGAGTACTTTGAAGCACATTGGGAAATTGGAGAGATAATGATGCTTCAGACATTTGGAGGAATCATACTTCATCTGGAAAAACAGTCTACTGTTATATATAAAACATTTCACAAAATTAGAGCAGCCTTTTTTCCTCAATGGACGAGGAGGAAAAAAAATAATCCTAGATTTCTATTTAATACATTTACCAAACTCACACAGTCATGGTTCTGTGAAATAATCCATTATCCTGGGGATAACGTAACTCCTCTCAGGAGTCATATCTTTATAGGATTCTTTAAACAAGATGAATTTAATTAAAAAGGCAATTGCATCCTTCCAAGTATGACAACGTATTTTAGCAAGTGAAGAAGCATTGGAGGAAACTCTATAAATTAAAAATGGTTAGAATTGTTTTCATCCACATGAGCTTTCCGAGTTATCATAATTATTAGCTTTATCCTCAAATTTTGGGAAACCCTAACCCAGACCAAAACAATTATTTGAGGAAGTATGTCCATTGATTTCTGGCCCCATTTTAGATATCCATCTTCTGATCCTTATTCTGTAAGGGTGGCGGTGGGCTGGCGCGTATCTCTGGCAGTTTAAGGTGGGGTACATTCTGGATAGGTCACCAGTCTTAAACTCACGGACAACTTAGAGAAGCCAGCAATAGTCATGTTTTTGGACAGTGGGAGAAAGCACCATGGGAGGAACCAAAGCATGTACAAGAAGAACATGCAAACTCCATGAAGAAAGATTTAAACCCAAACTCTTCTCACTGCAAGCCAATGGCGCTTATCAATGCATCACCGTACACTGCCCATTTTATTTATATTCTTGGGTACCCCCTGATCTAACCCCTTAGATGGACTACAAGCATGTGTGTTTAATGGCATTAACACTCCACAGTTAAGGGGTAGTGCTTTGGGGTCAGGTTGGGATTGAGCCATCCTGTGCAGTTGCTCGTTGTTCTTCTTTACCTAACTAATGTTACCTCCGATGTTACTTATTGTGATTCCTGCGTTAAGCGTCTTTCTCAGAGACTCAGGGTGGCAGTCTATGAGAGGGGGGTTTGAACTCAGAACCTCAGGATTCCAAGTCCTATGCCCTAACCACTAGGACACCACACCCACTCCAACTGTATTACCGCCACCTAAAGGGCTGGAGTGACAAAGCTCAGTGTCTTACTTTTGTTAAATATGAAGGGAACAAAACTTATTTCTAATTGCATTTTGGTGAATTGTGATTATATAGCAAATGCAATTAATTCGCCAGTGTCGGATATCGAATATCAATTACGTAAGCGAGCCAAGCCCCCCTGACGTCATGTCCCTTTAAAACTATGGCGTGAACTCTTCCTGTCTTCTGTCCTGCCTTGCTACTATGGGTCTTTTAGGTGAGATACACCAATCTTCAGCCAAAGCCAGGTTACTTGCCCGACCCACCAGAGAAGAGTCTGTTTGCTGCGGAAACAGGCTGCGTTCTGCCTATAATTCAGAGAGAACTATTATGTTTTTCTGCAGGTAAAACTGCACAACACCAGTTCTTCTCTTACTTGATTCACAGTATTAATGTTAAAGGTACCTCTTCTGTAGACAATGTTCCAAGATTGGGTAAGCTACTTGCTTTTTCTTCAATTATCTATGTTGTGAAACCTTTACAAACACTAGGTTATCTTTGTTTTGCAGCTTTTAACATACCCATATAAGCCCACATACATTGTCACAATATGCTGTAAAAAAGCCTTCTGACCTGTGCTTGTGCTGATGTGTCATTCAAAGCTTTTCTGAGGCCTTGACTCAGTCCCCTTCGCAGGTTCTGCCTCTGAATGCTATCCAGCCTATTCCTCCTAACGTAGATTGAAACAACTAAAACAGACACACAAAAAATGCAGGTAGGAAAGAAACAGCAGCAAAGAATATTTTTCAACTTCACAGTTTACCTGTTTTAACCCATAACCTCTCAGTGATGTTACACTGTGGCTGCGGAGCCTCTGTAGTTGTGATGAAAGGTGAAATGAAGATGGAGGTGATGCCCCTCGGGGAGCTTGCTCTTTGGTTGGGAGATGTAAACGTTCTTCTGTTGGTGTAAGTCCTGATGGCTGTGGTGGTTCTTCTGGTAATCGGCTGGCGCTGCGTGGTGGTTGTTGTTGAGTATGTTATTAATCTTAGAGAGGGCGTGCTAGTGGTAGTGGTGGTCGGTTTTGTAGTTGACGATGCAGTTGTAGTGGTGAGCTTCACAGAGGCTGTTGTGGTGTCTTGTTGCGGTGTCAGAAGCGATACCTGAGATGTGTCCTTGACGGGCCCAACAGAAAATATTATCCTGTCTGACTGAGAAGAGTTTAGATCAGTCTCCTTCTCTTTGGGTGAGGTGGACACAACAGATTTAGATGTTCCAGCAGTAACATCATCCATCTCTTGCTCTGCAAGAACGAAAATCTCTGTCACAAGATGTGAGTGATTAGGATCTAATGTTAAGGTCAAAGCTGGTGGAAATCAAGATAATAGTGCTATATATGTATAAGGTGTAAGGGTGTCAGGCTGTACATGCCAGTAATATAATATTTTAGCTGAATCCATTACTGAATGGGTTGATTTTAAGTATTATGAGGAAAACTGAGGAAATGAGGGGGATGGAAAAGCTACTGGCTATGTTAAGGGATAGAATAAGAGTGGCAACATAGGATGAGATTGAAAAGCAATGAAAGAGGAGTCACTTAAAAGAGGGTTTAGGTAAACATCAGTTCTTACAGTAACTCTTCACAGTCCAGTAGTAGTCACAGCAGAGATCAAGAGAAGGTAAATGAGAACTTCACACCTTGTAGTTTGACTTTCCCTTAGATAGACGTTGGATTCTGTGCAAAGATCAGATTATTTGGAGAGAAAAAGGGTCTGGCGACAGCTGTTGAATCATCCGAATCGAATAAATGCACATTATGCTTTTGCCTGTCTTCCAGTTCTTGATGTTCATATGATGAGCCATCTGCCACTAAATTAGATTTCACACTGTCAAAGCTGTTAGATGCACTTTCTGATTTAAAAGCACTGCTTTGAACCAAAATTGGCTTGGTGGCTTTCCACTTTGTATACAGAGCCATTAGTTTTGTGCCAACGCTGAAAATAGCACTAGATGTCTCCACACTGTTCCAATCACCATGGAAAGAGGTAGTTACTGCAAGAAGCTGCTGAGGTGTGGTTTTTTTGCTGACCCAAAATTGAATTTGATTCATCTCTACCAATGCGTGATTGATCTCACAGCAGAAAAAACTCTCCCTTTGCGTTAAGAGATTTCTGCTAGAGATAAAGGAAAAGAACTGGCAAAGGGTTTACATGAAGGGCTTCTAACGGTTTTTGACAAGCATCAAAAGTTTAAAGACAGGGAAATTTAGCATAAGACTTTGCTAGAGCCTTTATTAAAAACAAATGTGCCAGACATAGCAGGTTTTGTTCAGCAAACTCTTCGTCTCCTTTGTCTCCACTCTCTTTAGAGCCAATCTCATTGTTTTATGTCCTGATTTATTCTTATTTTTGTGTAGTTCTGTGCATAAAAAAGGGACTGTTTGACACACTAGGTGTTAAAAACAAACATTGCATGTCCATGTAAAGAGGACCGTATTAAAGCATGATCAGCATTTTTTCACAAAGAATTAAATATCTATAGTAAGAGGATTTTAAAACTCAGTTCGATTCAGGATATGATATTTGCTGATGAAGATTCTCAGTCATCCAGGTCATAGTCATTCCGTAAAAGTTTAAAAAACAATCCACTGGACTTGGTTTCCAAGATTTGAAGACGTTTCACTTCCACTCCAGGAAGCTTTCTCAATTCAAATGTGTGGATCCGCCGTGAGTTTGAGACTTTATATAGACAAGGCCTTGTATTGCTTGGAAACATGAAACTGACGAGTGGGTCATTTGGTTCATTTGGTTCCATTGTTATCCTGTAATATCTGAAACCTGTCTATTATTCTGAAGGTCGTAATACCTAAAACGTCTTCAAATCTTGGAAAGCAAGTCCAGTGGATTGTTTTTTAAACTTTTACGGATATGATATTTGTTTTTTCCTTGTTTATTATGACTGACATGCAGATTATATTAATATATATTATTACAGTAAATGAAGAACTACTGAATTTATTTTCAGATTAAACATAGATTAATTCTGCAGGGGAAAAGGGAATTACTTTAGGGTTAGGATTAGCATTCACTGGGTGATAACAACCTAATGAGTCTACTGGTACAATTTGAAGCCATTCTATAGGACTGATAACCACTAATAATGACCATTTACTGGTATGATAACATCCAAAGCAGCTACAAACAGCCACTTTATATCTACTGTGTAAAATAAGACTGAATGAACAGGTCTTATCTATTAGAACAATGTTTTTAGACTTCATATTCACCTGCCGTCAGGTGATTTTACCAAAATAAATACACTGATCCACTACCATTTAAATTGCCATTCTATAGCAAGCTGTTTTGATATGTACTAGTTCTAATAGTACATTGTACCAGTTTAATAGTTTTACTGGATATGTATTCCTGATCTCTGAAAAAAAAATGTTTCCTTGTCAAAATGACCATTTCAAACAAAATGAGATTCTGCACAACTAGAATAAACATTCTGGATGTCTAGAAATTAATTTCAGATCTCCATATTCTTATTGTTAGTGGTCAGCATTTGTATTAGTTTCACTATGAAGAAATGTGTTTCAGATATAAGTATATATTCAGTCAGCTGATAAATGTCAAAACAGTCACTTAAAATGTATAAAAATTTATATATATATATAAAGCTTGATTCTTACTCGTACAATTTTGTTTTTTTACTTACTGAAATTCAGTTTCTGCTGCAAAAATTTTATTCAGAAAATACATTATTCCATTTCAGTCTAGAAATGTGATTTTGATCAGGAGAAATTGAATTTTAGGGATCTACAATTGGAGCAGGACAGAGGAGATTGCTTCAAATAAACTTCTGAATTAACTCGAGCAACATTCTTCTTCACCATCGTCCTCTCAGTTGTAGCTGTAGCGCTGTTGCTCTGTCTTTTAAACACATTTTCAATTTCATTTTTTTTTTATTTCTGCTTTTAAATTTCTAGTTCCAGTGGGGTGAAAGAGGCCCTTCCTATTGCCTGTTGTCATGGTGACTAGTTGAATCGAGGCTCCTCTGATAACGACTTTACATACTTACACATGTGCTAAACTCTGAGTGGACCTACCTAGAGTTGATTGAACTAATTCATAGGAGCCATTGTGAAAAAAAAACTCAAATTCCGACCTCAGGCTAGATCAATTTAGAGTTGCAGGTTTGAATCTGATTTTGTTAATCCTGCGCCGTGAAATGAACCTCAGATCTTTTAGCGTCAGATATTCTAGAAAGTGTATTGTTTTTAGTCAGAAGCTAAACAAGAACTGTGCTTCAGATGGTTTACTGAGGGTTTTTGCTACGCTTCAGAATCACCTTAATTGAAGCTCAAAGCAATTATTGATATCCACAAATTTTTAAGTTTCTACTTAAAAATAGTTAAATTTATAACTATATAGGCCATGTTATTTGTATACACTCTTCAGTTTTGCCCTACTGTTGGGGGTAGATATAATTTTCAGAGCTGTTCAGGCTATGTGGGCAACAACCTTGAAAGTGCCAATTGTGGTTACAAACCTCAACCTCTCTGGCTGCATCTGACTTTGATGCGGACAACGCTGCAAGTGCAAAAGCATCATCGGGCTCAGGTCTCAGCTGTGTAAGTGAAAGTGAGTTATTCAGGTGAGATGGAGCGCAACCAGATTCCAACTCAGCTTCCTCTATTGCTCCCTGGTTGTAATTTATATTGATAGCAGGAAGTCCAGGACTGCTTCGACTTGCTGCCATCAGTAAATCACCAGGGTTAGACACATCCTCAGAGGAAGTCGCTATGGCAGAGCTGGTTTATGCTGGCTTGGCAACTGTGATTTAAGATGAAGGCATTTGATCTGATGAAGACGAAGCAGGAATAGTAAAAAAATAAAAATAAATGCTGGTTGTGAAGGTTTTTAGTCTCACAAGTGGATTACCTGTGTGGAGTGATTATTGGCATGCTTTTGCCCTTTCTATGACCTAAAGTGTTACTATCAGCCATTGTCTTGTCCTCATTTTCAATATGCATGACTAGAAAGTGACTAGCCTTTAGCACAGGCAGACAGCAGTGCTGATGTGGGAATATTTGAATCTCCCGACTACCTCTAAACTGCATGACTGGTTTGGCTGGATGAAATTAGAGAACTGCTTTTAAGATTAGCAGAATAAGCAATATTCAACCCTATATTCCAATTATGAATAAGTCCACACAAACTAAGTAAAGAATAAAGACCATTGTTTGGTGTAGAAAACATGTAGAAAATAAAAGCACTGGCCACCGGCCTAAGCAAAAATATTTAAGACTTTTGCAATCTCTTTACAACATTTTCTTCACCTGGAAAGTTTGATAGCTCATTCCTGCATTGTGCATTCCCCATGTAACAACATAGAGGTTAGTATCTCTGTGAAAGGTGGATATTTCAGCCCTAAATCTATTTATCCGTCCCTGAAGCTCATAATGCTGATGTCACTTTCAGATAAGCAGGGTTGGACGCACTTTCCTAACCCTTAGATGAAAAAGCTTTGCTTATCCGTGAAGCACAAGATGACTGAAAAAAGAGATAAAAAGGAGGATGTCAAGTAGAAGGTGGATTGTGCTGAAGCTGACATTGATGTAAATGATAAAAACTGAAATGATGAGATGTTTCTCTTGCCATCTACAAATTACACATGTTAGGGCTTGGAGGCACAGTATCTGGGTTATTTCTTCTAAATATCAGACCTGAGCGTGCTCTGAAGTCGTCCCCCACTGATGAGGAGGACATGTCTGAGCCTTGGCTGGAACTATGTGAAGGCCATTGGGTGGTGAGTGGATCATCCTTGCTGATAGTTGGCAAGGTTCTACTTTGATCAAGGCCTACAGGATCTTTGACAGTTCCTGCCATCACAGTTAAGATGGAGGAGAAAGCAGGCTGTCCCGATAAACCCTCAGCGTCTGAGTCGCCGTCCGAACGGACCACTTGGAAAGGCCCCTCCCCGGTCACTGACAGTTCAGCCATTGGTTGAACAGGATCGCCTGTGATTGCAGAGCTCCTCCGTAAAGGTGGGGAGCCAGAGGCATCGTAGGTGGAGTTTTCTGTAAAGAAAAAAGAAAGAGACAAGACCTCATTTTTACAATTTAATTAGGACCACTTAGATGACATTCCTCAGTTTATTCCTGTCACTCATGAGTTAACGTATCCACTCCAGCAAACATGTATGAAACTGGCATAAGGATCCACAAGATTGATTTCTACTTTAGCAAACAAATTTTTTTTTTTTTACTTGATGCCAACTTAGGGTGCTAGCAGTTCTGTGCCTTTGCATGGTTTTCATCAACAGTTTCTGCTTCCAAATAGACAATCTGCCATGAGCTTTTTGTGCTAATTATGTGTTGATCAATACCGGGGGTTTCATTTCAACTTCTTTAAACAGCCAAGAATACAAAGTGTTTAATTATAGTCTGTTAAAAAAAAACTGTCAGGAAATGGTTAGATAATGTAACAATAAATAATATCTGCAAGCAGAAATTGCTCCTCTTTCTATAATAATTTAAGTTATAAGATGTTGTACGGTATTCTGTTTCATTTTAGAGATCTAAACTGGCCCAACAAAGGATTATATACAAAAGGAAAGGAAATTTTGTGTAAAATAAAGATTACTTTTTTTCCTATGATATAGGAGAATAACGATTACATTTTAAAAACTAATGTGCAATTGTTTATGTACACGAGTATCAAATGATTCGTATTGTGTTGCATGACATAAAGGGAGTTAAGAAAAGGATATCTTGCAAATGGGGGAACATAAGAAGCAATTTGGACCTAAATCTATAAAGTACTAATAACCAGTCAAAGTCCCAATGTTGAAAATTAATGACGTAAACCCAAGTTACAATCAGTGGTGACTAAGGAGCCAAAATCAGGACTGAGGATATCAAAGATTTCCAGAAGACCTAATTAGCTTTACATTTATGAGCTTAGGACCACTGTCATTGTCCTAATATTTCTGGCTTACTGTACACAGGAAGTACATAAATCATATTACAAAATCTATGATGAACCAGTTGAAGGTATAGAATACAATTTTCTTTCCGCTGCGAGTTTCAAGTCCCTCTGAGAGTCACAAGAAGCAAACGGCTTTACCACTTTACTGACATATAAGCAATTTCACTCTGTTTTTCCTCTGCTGAGGGGAATTTTCTTCTTGTTCATATATCCTTATATGGGATGTTTCTAAATTCCTTTCAAAAACATTTTGAAATTACTCTTTAATGCCCTTAATATATATCTTAACAAAAGTGTTATTTTACATTATTTACTGTGGTGCACTAAACAAGCCAGATAATATAATCTTTCATAAGCCACGAAACGCCACAGTCTTAGTTTGGGGTGTAAAAGCATTTTTTCTGACATTCCCTAATAGCATACCAAGGACAGACAGTGGTGTGTTGCAAAAAGAAAGAAAACTGAGGCAACCCTCAAAGTAGAACAAATGGAATAATTCAAGAGACACCAACCAAATGCTGACCTGAAATCTGACTTTCTAAAAGCGCAAACAGGACTAGCAGGAAATCGCAGTTTGCTAAAATCACAGCTGAGAAAAAAGGCAGGGAGATGGATGTGAAGATCCATTAATATCCAGAAGATGCAGGGGGAAATTACTAGACAAAGGTTTGCTGATGTAGAATAATTTCCTATCCGCTACGGTCCTGCAGCTGTCCTTATTTGCGGCACGTTATGGACTTGACCATACAGGGTTCTTTCTTCCATTTAAAAAAACTTAGCAGTCCTGTCACATCTGCCGCCCCCTCAGCGATTCCCCTTTGTAGAAATGCAGCAGCTCACACAGTCATGTACGAATCAGCACTGCTGGATATACTTTTGTGTCTTTCTTTTTTATTAAAAGGGCACTTCAAAACATATTTTACATGTGGAAAATGTTCAGAAATGTTCAGAAATGCAAGGACCCAAATACACTTTCTAAAAAAAAAGATATAGCAAAAATGTTTTCAATAATTTGTTGAATTTCATTAAGCCTCTGTGCATGGTTCTTTGTGTCTCATTTATAACCAAAATTTTTTTGAATGTTTTTTATACGTTCCTCATTAGTATGAAGGTGACAAGTTAAATTGCTACACAGAATTGTCTAATATCTTTTCAAAAACTGGTGATACAGAGGGACATTACACTCCTGCATTTACAAAATCACTCCTTACAAAACAGATGATAAGAGCACTGCTTCAAGGCCACAAAGAGGTCAGCGAAAGCTTCTACAGCCAATTAAAAAGCCTAGCGGCCAGATTAATGACTGCGTGAGTTGGATGCCAGCAAAAGGGGCGGTGCAGAGTTCGCCTGTGGTTTGCCACCTGCTCCGATTGGGATGAGCATATGGGAACATTCTCAACAATTTACAAGTTAAGACAAGGTGCGCAGATCAAGAGAAGGCCAAAAATGAGTGGAGAATTTCAGGGAACAAATTAAGGAGTGAAAGATGTTTCAACTTAATTTCAGAGAAAAATTTTATTCAGTTTTCAGTTCTCTCAAATCCTTCAAATGATTAGTTCTTGTCTTTCAAATAAATGAAACTAAATAGAAACATTAATGGACAATATAATTAAGGAATTGTATTTCTGATGATAATTTTTATAGTGAACCTACTAATTAAAAATGAAATTATGCACAACCACAAACTCAAACTTTATCAGTGAGATTCTATTAGATGCGCTGACAAAATTTAGGTGTAAGATGACACTGCTTCCAAATGTTTTACAAATAGAAATCTAGCAAGTATGATGTGCTGCTATTTAGGGCCTCTTTATTTCTATACACCAAAATACTATCTAATTTTATTGGCTTTCTTAAAGTTACCTAATTAGCAAATAGTGTCAAATTGTGCAGCCGTATCTGCACAGACATTATAAATACAGCTTTTAGGATTTGGACACAGCTCCCACCCTATAAAGAGATGGCCTTCCACACAAAACTATAGGTCGACCAAGGTGAACATTAATTAGAAAAACAGTGAAGAGGCCCATTTACTGCAAAACAATAGGACATCTATGAGCTGCAAACTTTTCCATGTTTTACATGTGTTCTTGTAGCAAGCCTGACTGTAAAGAAAGACTGATGCAAAATTTAGGGAGCTAAAACCTGGAACAAACAAGGACTGAGATTCACCTTCAGACAAGACATCAATCATAAACATGTATCCAGAATTCCTTTACAGTTCTGTAATTTAGAGAAACAGTTTTATCTTAAAATGACTTTTTAAAATTAAACCAGTAGTACTGCACATAAAGACTAAATTTAATATATCTCGCATGTCTTAAAATTGAGGTTTACAGATGCTCACATTCCATTTGACTGAGCTTGCCTTATTTTGGAAAGAAAATGGATGTTAGTCTGTAGATGTGAAAAGATGGTCAAGACTTTACAACAAAGGTGATTCAGTGTAGAGTCTAAAGAACAGAATTACCAGTTTTAATACGAATGTTTGGTAGAAATCTAAAGATTAAATAAGAACAAAATGAAAAGATTTCATGTAAGATATCTGTAATTTCTCATTTTAACTGATACTTGTAGAAAAACATTTCAACATGCATAAAACAAATCAAATGTAAACTGGGTCTTTATTAAAAAGTTACATATTTTGACATAATCCGTTTTCTCCATCATTACTTTTAGAAGCACCTGACACCATATTGGCACCATTGAACATCCAAGGAACTGAGGTTGAAAAAGATGACACAAGAACCTTGGTGTGTAAATATAATAAGCTGGAGTGGAGTCACAACACTGCTGCTCTTTAAAGAAAGGGTCGGAGTAGACTGTCTGCTGAGATCTTTTGTAGTGCAGTGGTGTGCTCTTAAAGATCTGCCTTGGTTCTGTGGCGGCATCAGCTATATTACATCGCAAGGCCTGTTGGTGCAGCAGTTTATCTGAAGCTGAGAGTACTAGTTGAATAAGCTCATTAGGAAGGCCAGTTCTTCCCTACAATACCTTTCAGGCACAGTGCAGGTGGTGGAGGAAGACAGGACTGTAAGAAAAATAACATTACTGTTGGACACTGCCTTCCACACAATCTTTAAAGCTGTTACAAAGACAAGGAGCCAACTTAGTGACAAATTGTTACACTGGTTTACTACAGCCTTCCTGCAGATCCCTCCCCCAAGCTAATGTTAGAATTTGTAATCCCAACATGCACAGGAAGTGTTTACAGCTGTTTCTTTATCTGATCAAAATTTTTTTATATTCTTTCATGCATATCATTATTTGTATTGTTTCTAATCTGCTCAATATATTTTTTTGCACACCAACTGCTTCATCTGGACAGATGTTGATTGCTCTGAAAGTGTCTTCTTTCATTTATGCTTATTTTGCTCAATTTCTCATCTTTCTGTAAACGGGCTGCTTTTTTATTTTTTTATCTTTGTTCTATTTTGTCCAATGTTTCTCTTTAATATCAAAGTATAGTATTCTATAATAACAACAGTAACAATAATAGTAATAATAACCATGACATGTTTTTGGGTTTTTTTTTTTGTCTCTCTGGCTGTACAATCTATTTTTGTACACATCAATAGAATTTCTCCTGTATTACACAGGTGGCAAAAAGGGGTGAAAAGTTTGAAAGATTCCAAGGGCCCTTGTCTGAGTGGGGGGCCCAAAAGAAGAAAAAACCTATGTTCCACTAGATAATTCAAATATAAAAATCAAGAGATTTTTTTTGGGGGGGTCAATATCAATGTCTTCATGAGGCCCCAAATTCCTCGCAACGCCCCTGATTACACAATATATTCTATTTATACGTTTTTATCTGAGCAAGGTGTCTATAAACAGTCTTTATTTTTTATTTGAAATGACCTTTAAATATTTTTTAGCCATGATTCCTTTGAATATCTGTGTTACTGGAGGTAGATCTTAAATTGAAGGGGTCCCAGGATTTAACCTTGCTGTACTCCATATGTGAGTCCTGTCCTCTCTGAAAAGAAGTGGCCTACTGACACAAAGCAGTTCCTGTGCTTTAGGTAATTATAAAGTTATTTAGTTAAATTATAAAGTTAAATTACAAAGTTGAGTCTAAGTCTGGTTACCC